TTATCTTTGACGAAACATAAGCCTACTTTCTCACCATATTCTCCAGATATGGCACCATCAGATTACCATCTTTTTCGTTCGGTGCAACACCATCTTAATGGGAAAACGTATGCAAATGTGGAAGGTGTTAAAGAGGACATCGACATGTTTTTTACTTCAAAGCAAAGTGATTTCTTTAATCAGGACATTAACAACCTGATTGTAAGATGGAAAAACATCATCGATAAGAATAGAGACTATTTCATTTAATAAATGTTTTGTTTTGATACACAAGTTGTTCGGGTTTTCTCATCTAAAAAAAGGCGACATTAATTTCTTGACGACCTAATATAATAATCTAACATTAATGTCTTATAACAAGTGTGATTATAATCGTGTATCGCCAGTTCGTGAAAGGCGTTCAAACCCTAACAAGTGTTGTTTCAATATTTAATTCGGACACAATACCCGATATAATTTTTTTTGCTGTGTAAAACTGTGAACGCTACCGTTACATCACAAACAACGAGATTCTATAAAGGTTTGCCCGGTATGGCCAGGTGGTTAGGGCCCCAGCATGGCCAGGTGGTTAGGGCGCTGGACTCGCAATCTGCGGGTTCGAATCCCTGTCACACCAAACATGCTCGCCCTTTCAGCCGTGGGGGGCGTTATAACGTGACGGTCAATCCCACTATTCGTTGGTAAAAGAGTAGCCCAAGAGTTGGAGGTGGGTGGTGATGACTAGCTACCTTCTCTGTAGTCTTACATTGCTAAATTAGGGACGGCTAGTGCAGATATCCCTCGTGTAATTTTGCGCGAAATCCATAACACACTATAAAGATTTGTCAAATAATAATCTATGGTTCTAAATAACGATGGGAACAAATGTTAATATTATATAGAATGAAAACATAAAACAAGAATAACATTTCAAATGAAAACTTAAATTTTCTAACGCAGCCAGTCTGATGAGCTCTGGTATTGAACGAAGTGCTACGTTGCTATTGGTCTACAAACCTGAAATGCTATTATTTACTTTTCCAGTATTATCAATTAAGAATAGCGTTTAGAAACATTAACAGTCTGATTTCGATGATTTGTTTAAAACTTATGTACTTACAACAGTGTAAGCTGTTTTAACAAGATTGTA